GGTAGTTAAAATCATCACCTCAGAGTATTTTACCCTGATCAGGGATATCTGAAGAAAGCTGGAGAGATCTGGGGCACCAGTTAGAGTTTGCTTAAATGAAATAGAACTAGAGGAAGGACAAGCTTTCTCTTAAAATGCCTGACCTATGATATCAACCTTGAAAATAGGTTTTTTAGCAGCTTCTTTGATGTCTGGGCAACAGTTCATGTTAAATATAGTGAAAAGAGAACTGGTTAACAGATTTCAAAAGCGTAGAGGGGAAAAAAAGTATGTAGGATGGCTGGAGAGCCCAGAAGAGACAGTAATAGGAGGCTGCAGCTTCTGAAAAGCCAGGTTGCAACTGCAAAACTCTGAGTAATCTATCCAAGGAAGGGCAGGGAGCATGGCTGAGGAAAAGAACAGTGATTCTGAGAGGCTGAGAGAGCCCGGGAACGGAGCCTCTGCAAAGAATCCCCACAGACACAGAGCAAGTACTAAGAATGGGAGGACCACACCCACCCAAAGGGCTTGGCAAAGCATGAAGGTGAGGATGGGGCAGAGCCAGCACCTGGAACGAGCTGAGGCGTACAGAATACTTGAAGCCAACGAAAAGGCCCAAGAGAGACAGAGTGCAACTTCAGCAAGTGGAGGAAGGAGGCGGCATGGCTTCGGTTCTTTCTTGCAAGAGCAATGGTCTTCAAGCTAAGAAGGGAAGGCAAAGGGCATAGGGGGGAAACAGCCCAAGAGAAGCGATGTGGTGGTGAAAAGATGACTGCGTTTGGCCAATAAGCCCAGAGAGAGCATGTGCTAAAATAACTTACTGATGGGGTTCTGGTCCTGATGTCTTTTCTCCATTGAGGAAACAGAAGGGAATAAGGAAAGTTGAAGCTAAGAAAACAATGAATTTTGAAGGGGGAAAAAGCTCCTGGGAGTTATAAGCTGTTTAACCTAATGTTCCTCTCCAGGCCTTTTAAGTCAAATTGAGAGCAACCCTGAAAGATTTTTGTAAGTGATTGTCAGAAACCTGCCTGGATTCTCTAAGGCCAAGGCATGTAAAACTACATTTTTAAAAAACCTTAGTTATTGTCACTATGTTGATAAAGCAGATAATACTAGGTATAGCTTACTTTATTTCAGAAACACTAGAGTTGCCAGGATTTTATGAATCACATAGTCAGGGAAACAAAAACCATTTAAACCAGTGGAAACTTAAATCTGGAAATAGTAATTCTTTTGATGGAACAGACTGAGAAACCAACTGAGGAACAGGAAGCTGCTACCACAGGTGGGCTGGAGGGAAAACAGGAAGGCAGGGTTAGTGGAGTCCAGGGCCCAGAGTCACATCACGCACACACACTGGAATCCTAGTGGGCCTGTCTAGTGGTAGCTAGAGCCAGGGAAGAGATGTAGCTGTTGCCAGAGAGACCATTATAGCATAGAGCATGGGGGAGAAATACCCTAACTTTTCCCTCTCTCTCACCCTCCAAAATCCCACCATGCTCCTGTTGGCTGTCAAGAACCTGGAATGCGTAGCCTGCATGAGTCAGTTTTCTTGCAGTAAAAAGCGGAGAAGAAAAATTGAGGGATGGATCTGAGGACAAATAGGCCCAGGACCCACACAGCACACACCTTGTGCATAAAGTAGTAAAATGTGAGTTGAATAATAGTATAGTTAACTTTATCTATAACAGACTGAACAACTTGTAGTTGTTGACTCAGGGCCAACAAAAGGTGATTGATGGCTTGGGCCAACCTGGAGATAATTTCCAAGTGCCAAGGGGTATGTTATGGCCAACCAAGCTGGGGAGTAGTTCATTCATGTAACAAAATTGATCTTATGACCTTAGGCTGCATTCAAACCTTGTGTTGGGCCTAAAGTGTGCTCAGCACATAGGAGGTAATTAGTCACACTATACTTTGTATTGTTTAGACAATATCTGGAATATAGCTCATGTTACATTGGCAAAAATAAAGTGAACCTAAAGGCTGGTATCTAGAACTGGGTTTGACAACTGTGTCCTGTGAGAAACGGGTGAAAGAAGGAGACATGTTCTATCTACAGGTGAAAAGACTATATGGAGTCTCACCAGTATCTTGAAATACTTGAAGGGTTGACTTCTCATATGGAAGAGCTAATAATAATTACTAACACTAATTGAGTATTTATTATTTTTAGGCACATAACTCATTTAATCATTCTAACACTCCTGTTATGTATAAGTATTATTGTACCTATTTTATAAATGAAAAAGCTGAAGGCTCAGCAGGTCATGTAACCAGCCCAAGCCCAGTCAAGCCCAGTCAAACCTTTCAGACTCTGAAGCCTATGTTCTTAACTACTCTGCTTACCATGTGTTGTTTTACTAAGCCAAACAAGAACCAATGGTTGGAGCCACCATGAGGCAAAATTTGACTTGGCATAAGGATGACTTTTTTCCAATGAAAGTCAAACTTTTTAATGTCTAATGATGGCAATAACTACTTCTGGAAGTAGGAGCTTCTGTTCATAGATGTACTTAATGAAAAGTTAGTTATCTAGCAAGTTACTAATATTAAAAAAGAAGTATTATTAAAAAATAAAAAGGGACATCTCATAATGATAGAAAATGAATTCGGCAAGAAGACATAGCAACCCTAAATGTGTGTATAACTAACAACATAGCTTCAAAATATATAAAACAAAAACTGACAGGCCTACAAGGAGAAATAAACCCTCAATTATATTTGGAGACTTCAACTCATCTCTACTGTAACCGAAAGAACAAACAAAAAATAAAATAGAAGAGTTGAACAACACAGCCATTTTGACCTAACAAACATACATGAAACTTATGCCCAACAACTGCAGAATATTTATTATTTCCAAGTGCATGTGAAACATTGATCAAGGTATTTATCTAGCAAAGTTGCTAAAGAACATATTACTCATTGAGCAGGAAGTTGGGCTAGTTGTATTTTAAGACTACTCCTACCTCTGAAATTCTAAAATTTACTCATCTTTTCCTAAGAATAGTACCCTCAGTCCAGCTTCCACATTGTGTGTTGCTGATAGTAATGCCATTTCAGCCACTTCCCAAATACCGCAGAGGCTGTGGAGATGTCTTTAGGTTGTATAAATGTAGATGTGGTCTTCTGTCCCTTCCCCAAACCTTGCTGATTCTTTTAACTGAACAACTCTTCCCATCTGCTCACTCATTTATATATCCCCAAGTCAAACCTTAGCCCAGCTCCTGATTCCTCACCCTCCTATCTCTGAAATCGCCTGTCAACTTGGCCATGAAGATCAGCTTCTTTTCCCAAGCTGCCCTGTGGGAGCAGGCCAGACCTTCACCCACAACACACTACTCCTATGAATCTATTAATTTCTCCTCCATCTCCCCCAAAGATCCCATAGCTTCAGATATAACCTACAATATAATAGGATGAAATGATTATAAGAGGACATTGTGCCAAGGTGGAAAAAGTGCAGATAAAGAACATAAAATGAAAGTTAAAGTGAGTACTCAGATGCATGACTGCTTTGCTAGTATTTGGCTCCAAGGAGACTGGTGAGTCTAACCGGTTCAAGTCCTTCAGTAGGCTGGCTCAGAACCCGATTCTCCTCATGTACTAGCTCTGGGCACTCCTAAGTCCCCCTGGAAAACTTGCCATTCTATATTGTTCCATCCCTAGACTTCTGCAATTACATAGAAAACCATCCTCTGACAATGATTCCAATGCAGCATTCAGCATGCTGTAGCCGTGGAGGGCATGAAGTCCCCTCTCCCCACCCACCCCAGGTTCCAGCTGTTTTCTTATTTACAAAACAGGAATATGAATTTTCCCACCTCATATGTCCTCATGTAGTTTAAATGACATAACGTGTGTTAAGGGGAGGGAGTCAGGTGTTAGAGCCACTCACCCTGGCTCCTCTCCAAGTTCTGGATTAAGTGAGGTATATACGCAAGAATCAACACCAAATGGGAAATGAACTCCATTTTTTAAAATTAATAACTGCACGAGCACATGATTTCCCCCTTTCCCCTCTCCCAATTCTGGGGCTCCTCTGTTAATTTACATGGGAGAACGTGACTTGGAATAGGGGCCTCTTGTTTCTTGATCCTTCAGCTTAACCTAAGAGTACTGGTTTGCCGATCAGACCCTAAGGTCACTCATCCTTCCAGCCTCATGGATAAGAAAATCTGCCCCACCTACCCAGCCACAAGCAGAAGCTGGATGATGTGAGCTGGGAAGATGTCAGAGCTTTCTGAGGCAGGCAGGCCAGCAGGCCCAGCCGAGTATGCTTTCCTGGAAGGAGACCAGAACTTCAACAGAGGGCCTGGGTTTTTAACAGCACTTGAAGGCGCAGTCACCCTGCTCTCCAGGGAACTGTGCACGACCCAGTGGGCGTCTGGCTATAACTAATCAAATTAGCAACTCATAATATAGGGACACACAGGGGAGGTGCTCAAGGGGCAGACACAGGAGAGGGGCATGAACATTCCTTCCTTCTCCGCAGTATGTAAAAGCACAAGGCATCAAGCTCAACACCTAGAAAACACTTAGTAAATCATACATTTTTCTTTTTTTCTTTTCTGAAATCCTCACCTGAGGGTATTTTTTTTCCATTGCTTTTCAGAGAGAGTGGAAGGGAGGGAGAGGGAAGGGGAGAGAGAGAGGGAAGGGGGAGAGAGAGAAACATCGATGGGTTGCATCCCGCAGGCTCCCTGACCAGGGCTAGGGATTGAGCCTGCAACCGAGGTACATGCCCTTAGCCTGAATCGAACCCAGGACCCTTCAGCCCGCAGGCCAATGTTCTATCAGCTGTACCAAACCGGCCAGGGCAGTAAATCATACATATTTTATCTTTTTCACATGGTTGTTGCTTCTCAAAGTTTGTGTCCATTTATATTCCCCAATTTTAAGAAAAGAAAAAAAAAGATTCATCACACTCATGCCATATGTCTATCTTTACTTCAAAGATTGTATTGAAATTCTATTTCTTTAGGAAATATTTTCTACTTAATAAAAGCTAGTGCTCATTCCCTCTTCCCTTCTCCAAAGATCAACAGGTTATTTTCCACATTCCCTGTCTCTGCATATGTGGTTAATCCTTATTTATTTTTACCTATCATTTAAGATAACTGGACAATTTGTCCTTGTGTCCTTGCTCTCAGTGTCACCATGTCTATTTACAGGGCAGGGAGCCATATCTGATTAATTCACTTAACGTATACAGCACAGAATTGTGTGTGTGTGTGTGTGTGTGTGTGTGTGTGTGTTGGAGAGAAATAAATAATAAATACACGTAATTTTTTTACTATTTATACACAGAATCTAGATTTTTATTTTTTCTCACACTAATCTCAAAGCAAACAGAAGAAAGGGGGAAGTGAAAAAAATTTTTTCTCCTGAAGATGTTAGAAAAAAACTCTAAAGTGAGATGTGGGCTTAGCTAGTTATTCTATTTATGCACCCTCTTTCTTATGTCTTCAATTGTGACATAATTTACAGTAATATGGAAATCCACAGAATACGGTGGCATAAAGTACTATTGAGATTTGGAATCAAATTTCCAGTGTGCAAATATTGGCTCCACCAGTTATTAGCCCTGTGACTTCTAGGCAAAATACTCAACCTCTCTAGCTTTAGTTACCTCCAACAAAAATTGGGACTATCAACAATGCCATTTTTGTTGCATTGTAAGAATTAAATAATTCAATGTGTATAAAATAGCATGATATCTGAAACAAAGGAAAAAAGTATTTTTTAATATTGATAATGATTATTTTATTTCCTTCACATGGCATTGAGTACAGAGACTTATTTGTTGTTGTTTTTTCTTCTATCGTCCAGCTTCCTACAAGAAAATAAACACTCGCACCCTTCAGGTGCCAGGGACAGATGAGGTAGAGCTCATCTGCCAGGCTGAAGGTTATCCCCTGGCAGAAGTATCCTGGCCAAATATCAATGTTTCTGCCAACACAAGCCACATGGAGACTTCTGAGGGCCTCTACCAGGTCACTAGTGTTCTGCGCCTAAAGCCACTCCCTGGCAGGAACTTCAGCTGTGAGTTCTGGAATGCCAATGTGAAGGAACTTACTTCGGCTATCATTGACCTTCAAGGTAAGAGCAGCCCTTCCTTCCTGGCTGTCAGTCAGGGTTCAGGCGAGACACAGGTGGCACACTCAGAGTGAGTAATCTGAGGAGAGCGTAATGAAGTGACTATTTATGAAGCTGTGATCAGGATTTAGAGAAACTACTGAGGGTAGTGCAGGATCGAGGCTTGTGAGGACAGGGGCTTCAACAATGAGGGAGCAATGACCGCTGTTAGAGAGGTGACTGGAACCTGGGGAAGGGAGCTGTAGGGAAAGCACCACTTGACAGAGCTGTGGCCTCTAGCAGAAGGATGCTGCCACCTGTAGTAATGCCTAAGGGTGGAAGCGGGTGAATAAATACCCCAAGCTCATGCACTTCCCACCCTCTGATCTGCTGGTGCCTCCCATTGACTGAACCCAGCTGGAAGTCAGAGAACAAGGGAGTCCACTGATCCATTCCATAAAGACCTACCTCTCAGAGCTCAGAACGGAGTGCTGAAGTGTAGATAATGGATCCGAAGAGGAAACAGAAAATATCTGGTAGGATGAATACCACTTTGCTGGCTTTCCTGCTGGCTAAATGGTTTGAGAGTTTTATAGGAAAACTGGCCTCTTAAAAAAATCTTGCAGAGCTTTGGCTGGCTATGCCGAATCCCATATTTTTAGAACTTCATACAGGAGCAAAGTTTCAAAAGATTTTGGAAGCCTGACCTTTTTTCATGTGCCAAGTAAGATCATTTATTTGCCAAATAAGAGCAACTAACATCTAGTATTGCAATCATTTGATAAGAGACAGGTCATTTTATCCCCAATGCGTAAGTTTCCTATTGCTCCTGTAACAGATTACTACAAACTTTATGGGCTTTGGACAACACCAATCTATTAGTTTACACTTCTGGGGGTCAGAAGTCTGAAAAAGGCTTCACTAAGCTCAAATCGAAGTGTTGAGAGGATAGCAGAGGCACTAAGGGAGTACTACTCATTTTCTTGGTTTCTTCAGCTTCTAGTGGCCACCTGCATTCCTCGGCCCATGGGCCCTTCCTCCACTTCCGAAGCCAGCAGTCACATTACTCAGACCTCTGCTTTTTTCATCACATCTCTTTCTTTAACTCCTTGCTGCCTCTTCCCACCTTTTAGCAGCCCTTGTGACTGCAGCAGAAGCTGCCCCCCTACCTGAACTCAATAATTCAGGATTCTTTACCCATCTGGAGTTCCTTAATATAACCACATCTGCAAAACCCTTTTGTGATGTAGAGTAACATAGTCACAGGTCTCAGGGATTGGAATGTGGACATCTTTAAGGGACCCATTATTCTGCTACCATGCAAATAAAGGATATCATCTCAGAATAAAGGACAGTCCCTAGTACTGGTTAATTTAACTTTATAGAAAATTTACTCTATTGTCATTACATGTCGCTCTTTGTCCTTCGTCTTAGGCAAAACAGAGCCTAGGATAAGGGCTTGTGGACATGCAAATATTTAGGCGGTGATCTCAGTGAGTAGAAATGAGAGGTTTAAGAGGAAAGAAGAAAAGTCAAATATAAGGATACGTTATCAAAGTCAACGTGGGCAACAGGGGCTCAAATATGCCAGGACTCCCTGGGCAGCACACAGGTGGCCTCCTAAGATGTTTACTCAAAGGACTTCAGGTGGAAGGACTAACACACCTTCTTTCACTGTCAGTGGTTGACAGTTACCCCCAGGAGCATGAGATCCCTTCCTCTGTGAGCTGTGCATGCATGTGGGCTGAGCTCCCCCAGCATCTGCAGCATCGGAGTCAACCCAGGACAGAAGGCAAATATCCACTTGACATGAGTCGCTGACCACGAAGTGAGTCAAAGTCCAACTAGGATTCTACCCACTTTGTGGCTGAAATCAGACATGAAGCTGACAGGAAGTAAGTCATGACTAAAGCAGTCTAACCTTTGCACTTGTGTCTTACATTAAGTCCACTGCCTCTGAGCCTTCAGGCAGGAAAGCAGCTACAATCTCTGCAAAAGACATCATATGCAAAAGTTGGTGGGACAAACTACTGTTCCTGATTGATCCCAATTGACATTTATCATCTACCTCATCCACCCTACATTCTAGATTTCCCTCACTCAGCACTTCACATGCAATAGTTTGTTTGCCTGGGGGACTCAGGCTTTCAACCCTTATTGCCCTGCCCTTAGCTGACTGAAGTTGCTACAATTGCCTGTTCATTGTTAATACTGGTCGTGGAAGTAACAAGGATCAGAATGGTGTATCCCCGAGTTCCAGACATAGTCTTCCTTGCCTCCATTATGTAATAGCTTTCAAGTTCTTCATGGTAATTAAGATCGATTACTCCATCAATATAATAATTCTTTTCTTTGCCTGCTCATCCACCAGTGGGTAGAACTCAAGCTTATGAGGCGGTAGCTATAACTGTAGATGCAATAGAACATATTTCTTGGTATATCCCTTGGTAGAAGCATTCGCCACGAGGAAACTGGACCTTTAATTCAGTAAACCCAAAATTTGTGGAGGTGAGAAGCAAACCTTCTACAAGTGGGTCACTGGAAGTAGTGGTGAGAGGAACCAACCTTCAGCACTGGGGGAGCCCTGGCACAGAAGCAGCACATGCTTGAGACGAGACTGTCAGGGGAAAGTGAGTCCAAACCTGCACAGAACCATCCATCATTTCGCCACGTTCAGCCATGCCTGACATTGGGTGGGGCAGACAGACCATGAATCTGGGCATCAGAATGATCTGCTCCATCTCAAAGTACATTTTACCATGGACTAGTACCAATCAACAGACCAGACTGAGAGTTAATTTCCTAGTTTTTTCTTCTGGGGGGAAAAAAACAAAAGCAAAACTTCCCGATACAATTCTTAGAGGCAGCCAGCTGTATTGTCATTTCCAAGCCCCCAAGTCCCCACTTCCCCACCTATCTACACTTCACTACGCAATTCCAACACTAACGTCAGCCCAGCTTCTCTCTAACTAAATTATTATGGTGAAGTGAGGTAGAAAAAAGAGTCATGCTAAGAATCTTGATAGAAATAAAGACATGAGAAACACATCATTTTTAAGGTCAACTTTGGATGAAAATAGTGAATTAGGCAAGCTGATTTTTCAATAATCTTTATCTCTGTTTTTATCAGAGACCACCAGGCTTGTCACCTTATGAAAACTGAACTATAACCAATTCATACTAGAGTTTTAGAGGCTTAAATACTAACAGTCCCCGGGGAATTTACTTTTCCTGGAATTGTTTGCTCAGTTGTCCTTTGTTATGTGGGATTTTCTGCTTGGTTAAGAGTAGGCCAGTGCTTTAGATGAAATGTGGTTTTCTAGAAGAACACTTATATAAGGCTCTCCACAGAGAAATACGGGCTCCGTAAGATGAACTTGGAAATAACTAGAATCTGCCCTTTGCACCATTGATTACATCAGTGTTCCTTCTTCATGGTAGAGAAGTAGGAGGACAGACTGATCATTTCTCTGGAAGCCTTGAGGCTATGAGAAGTTAAGAAGAAAATAAGGTGGCCCCTCTCTCTCTGGGGGCCAACATAGCTGACTGAATAGTCAACAGTTGTGGGAGGGATTTACGAGGTCTTGCATAAAAATGGGAAATCACTCATGAATGCAACCAGCAGGGAGATGGAGAAATCTTTGTGCAATTAGAAATTCTCAGCCTAGCTTTACCAATCCTTGCCAGCTTTATATTCATGCTACTATCCCCTGATATGATTCCCTGCTCCAGTCAGCTCCCCTTCCTTGCCACGTACTCTGTGAGCTTGCTTGACCCCCTCCCACCTCCATGACCTGTGTCCTCAGGCACTTTCTTTCACATAAAATGTCATCATCCACCAGCTCCGAACCTGCCCACCCTCTCTCCAGGGCAGCTCTGGTAATTCCAGGGTACAAGCAATCTTCCCTCATCTTGCCTCCTGAGACCAATTACACCACTTCTTTGTTTGCCTGTAGCTGTACCTATCTTTCCCCTTCCCACTGCTATTTCATTTTCCATGTATTTTCATTGCTCCCATGAGTCTTCTTTATATCCAGAGTAAAGCAAAAGCAGAGTGCTCTGCTCATAATAAGTGCTCAATAAATGTCAGATTATTGGGTTGACGGCTTAGTCTTAAATGGTCCCAGACCCATCTTCCCAGCCTCCAGACCGTGTGGACAGTCAGATCTGAGCAGTCAAATGATGCCCTGGCTTGTGGTGCAAATACCAGCAACAAAATAACCACAGTCACACATCTTTGCATGGGTTCCTGGCTTCTGTTTCTCAAAGGCATTTTAAGTTGTCTTATGACTCTCCCCTTTCTACTCATTCTCATAAGTGGAGCTGCTCACTGCTGATTTCTGTGGCCCACCACAAGGTTTTCCAGAAGTCAATGAATCAAACAAATACAGCAGTGAAGTTCTGTGGGTGGGAGGTGTTCCCACAACTCTAGAATGAACATTCTAACTTCTAATCTGAAAGTAGGAAGCAGTGGGATGACTGTCCTTTTGAAGTAGTTTTTTCTGCACGGTCAGTTGTTGCATTTTCATTAGGAGATAGTGGGATTAGAGCCCAGATTCTTATAAGGCTGGCAGAGAAGCCCTTCTAGGAGGCCTGGCAGTGACTCTGGCAGTGGTCAAGCTCGTGGGCTCTGAAGTCAGGTGAACTTGAGTTTCAAATCCTTTCCGCTACCTACTAGCTTTGAGAACTTGAGCCACCCTAGAACTGTCCCTTGTCTCTCATTTGTAGAGCGAGGGTAAATAATGGTAGCTACCTTATAGGGTTATTGTGAAGGTTAAATGAGATATACTTGTAAAGTCCTTAGTACTCAGAAAAGATGGAAATGGGGGGAAATATGGCACCTTTAGCAAGAGGCATGGCTTCCCCGTGAGTGGATAGGACTGGCAGTAAGGATAAAGCGCATAGCTTTCCCACACAGCCTCATATCATTGTGAAGTAGCATGCAAATATTAGAAAAGAACTTAGGAGAATATGTATTAGGATATAGGCTAAGAGACCTCAAAATATAGTGACTCAGACAAGACAGAAGTACATTTCTCCCTCCTGTAATATTCAGGGATAGAAGGCGGTTCAGAGCAGGTAAGTAACTGTAGTCCATAAAGTCACTCAGCGATCCAGGGTCTTTCCATCTTGTTCTGCCAGGGTGTTATCACTGTTGAACTGTCAAAATTAGGTCACTGCCACATCTACGTCTCAGCCTTCAGAAAGGAAAAAGAGACATATTCAGTGTTTTAAGGCCAGGTCTCAGAAGACCCATTCTCCTGGCCTGAAGTTAATTTACATATCTGGCCACACCTCACTACAGGGGAGGCTTAGAAATGTTGTCTCTAAGAAACCGTGTGTCCAGCTAACACCTAGCTAATACTAGGGGAGAAAGGGAGAATAGATTTAAGGAATAAGCCATGGTCTGCCACGGGGTAGCCAATGACAAGGAAGGTTGGGTTAGGTGGACTAGGTAGGTGATCAGTTCAGCACAGCAAATCCTTACAGACACCATTCATGTAGCTGGTGCTTGGCTTTATTGGGGATTCAGAGGTGACTTAAAGTCTTTGCAATGCAAATATAATCTGAGCAGACCGATGTCCTACTGGATGTTCAATGTTAGAACGTCTTCAAGGATGAGTGAGCTTTTGTGTGTGGAAAGGACTATGAGGGAACCTGGACAGGACAGGTGTTTGCATAAAGCCACTGAGATAGGGACCTTCCCTGTTGTGGAAACAGCGAGGGTCCCAGGACTCCTTGACTCGCGGTACTACATGCAGCAAGTGCTTAAATAGCACTTCCTAGGAGTGAAGGAGCAGACTGTAATCAATATGGGTCATGCATTGAGGGATGGTACCTAGACTTACCGTGGTGATCATTTCACAATATATACAAGTATCGAATCATTATGTTAGACACTTGAAACAAATATAATGTTATGTGTCAATTATACCTCAATAAAAAGATTTTTTAAAAGTATGGGTTATCCAGTGTGTAGATGAGCCAGGCTTTTTACTCCTTTTATTTCCTTTCTACACTCTTTTGGACAGAGACAAGTATCTGTTGGGCCCGAGCTCTGCATCAGACAGGTCTGAGTTTGTAATCCTGCCTTTGCCACTTACTTAGCAGTGATGATCTTCGATTATTTAGCATCTTTGAACTTACTTTGTCAACTCTAAAATGAGGAGCTCAGATTAAATGACGTCTATTCCCCTCTCAGCTAAACTGTCTATGGTTCTCAGAAGGCACCGTGGTAGGGGAAGGGAAGGGAAGGCGGTTGTCAGGACTGAGCCATTCCTCCTGAGCAGCTTTGCCAGGTTTTTCTAGGGCCAGGCTGTTATGCTGATTCTGTATAAGTTACTCCATGAGGCAAAATTCAGGTTTAGGGAAAAGTCACAGCTTACCTTGGGTCCCCTCCCATCTCCCTGAGGGAACCCCTCTCCAGCCCTGTCCTTTGTAGGTCTGGGGCCCTCATTCTAACCATTAGAAACCTGGAGCTCTCCTTGACGAGGTTTTCCCCAGACCTCCAAACACTCTTCTCATCCACTTCTCTACTAAACTCATCTTTTCCTCAGTGCCAGGACTTTGATTAGCGGTGACAAGGGAAAAGTTCTAGTTATTATAATTCACAATGACTGAACTTTGTGTATCAACACTACCTACAATATTTTATTTTTTCAAAAGGATCATGTGACTCTTTGAAATTAAATAACTGATGATATAGATTCTAAGCAACGTGAGTGCTTGACAGAGGAATGGGGAGACAGTTTGGGGCTGAGAGACTATCCTACTGGAAAGAGAGAGATGACAAAGAAAGAAACAGAGAGAGATGTGTCAGAATGACACAAAGCATGGAATCTGGAACCAGACAACCTGGATTATATCTCAGCTTTGATGCTCACTGTATAACTCTGGGGAAGTCTCCTAGGCCTCACTTTCTTTACCAGTAAAATGGGCGTGATAGTAGAGCCTGCCTCACAGGGTGGCTGTGAGGGGTAAATGAGCTAGGGCACGCAGCATGTAGCATGAAGTAAATGCTCCATGCAAGCTGGCCATGGTGGTTATAGCCTACCCAGGAGGCCAACTTGCTGGTTTACCTCCAAGCACCATGTAATCGACTGTTTTTCCTTTCACCCAGGTGAGATGAAACCTAAGGTCCCTCCAACTTTGCTGCTTCATATTATCACCCCTTTCTTCGTCATTGTTTTAATATTCATAGTTACAGTGATAATCCTAAAAAAACAACTCTGCCGAAAGCTTTATTCAAGAAAAGGTAAGTGAGTTTTGATCACGGTAACCATGTGGCCTGGGTGTCTGCAGTGTGAGGCTCTGCTCTGCATTGCTGGCCTGCCGGTTTTACACTAAATCCACTCAGGGCTTACAAATTGTATTGGGTTTGTCCTAATGATTTTCTCCCCCAGAGGAAAATGGCTCTAGTCTTCAGTGAGCTAAAACCCTTACACTGAATATCTTTAAAGGATATTATATTCTTGTGGCTGAAATTGTCTGCCTTGATCTTTGCACCAAGAAGTGTCATCAGCCTCGTGAGATCCGTGTTATTTTGTCAATGTTGGGCAGCTATGTGGTCAGAGTTCACCTGTGGGATCCTTTCTGAGGATCCCTTCAGTTCTCATCTCTCTTTTCCTCAATCTGGGTATGGCTGGGCTATGCCCTCGCCCTACCCCTAGGAATCTGAATCTACTGGTTGTGTAAGAGACTGTTTAGGGGTGGGGAAAGCACCTGTTTGGTGGTGCCCTGAGGTCTTTCAGCAGCTCCCCACTCCTATTGTGCCAGCAGGGTCAGGGAGTGCCTGCAGCCTTTAAGCCTTGCCCGGAAAATCTGCAGTCCCATCTGGTTTTGTAAACCATCCCTTTGTCAGCACCCAGCCAGCTCCTTCCAAGATTGACACATGGCCTTGTCTATAGAAAAAGAAATAACATCTGGGAGTAACTCAATAGGAATTTGGGGTGATCACTATTTGAGGATTGGGCGGTTTTTAGGTGGTGGTTGTCCTACATTTACCATCTAACTTCTATGTTTTCATCTGCCACGAAATATTGTCATACTCTATTTTTGCCCATGGCCCTGTGTGTGCACTGGTTTGGGTAATAACCACAAAACCCTCTACTGTAGAATCCAAGGAACTATGGTCAAAAGAAGTGGGGGGAGGGAAAGAGGAAGAAGAGAAAAAGGAAAAAGAAAGAGAGAGAGAAGCGACAGAAGAGGGGAAGGGCGCCTCGCCATAAAGGAATCACAAGGTCCTGTTGGACAGAACTGTGACTAAACAGAATCACTTCTGCAAATCTGTGACCTTAGAGAGTCATGGCAGGTGCAATACAGCTCATTAGAATCTTACCTTCTGCCATTTTTCTTTCTACCTCCCTCATACATACCTCTCAGAAATAGCTTTATGCCAAGTTTCCAGGCCTGCGGCCCGAGACCCCTTTAGTCACCTGGAAAATGAGCAGCAGAGCCTTCTGTCTCTACTCCCTTTGAGAGAATAAAATGGAGTCATACTCAAAGGCAGAGCAGAAAAAAATCCTCGCCTCACCCTTCATCTCAGTCTCAGAGTGAGTGAGCTCCCGGCCGGGCGTGGCTCAGAGGTTGAGCGTCGACCTAGGATGCAGGCGATCGGGGTTCGATTCCTGGTCAGGGCACATGCCCAGATTGCAGGCTCGATCAATGACTCTCTCATCATTGATGTTTCTATCTCTCTCTCTCCCTCTCCTTTCCTCTCTCTGAAGTCAATAAAGATATATTTAAAAAATTAATTAATTAAATTAAATTTAAAAAAAGAGTGAGGACAGCAGTAGCTCCTGGGTGCAAAGCTCAGGCTCCAACTGCAGTGGGAGAGTTTTGCTGCTAATAAAGGTTAAATGAAGACATTTGCAAATGATACCTGTTTTGTTTTTAATGAAGCAGAGTGAAATCATGGTTGCCTATTTAATACCCCCTCCCTCTAACTCACATGCATTGGGATCTGCTTTCTTACTTAGGAGATACACGGATACAAATGTGGAAATGCGGTGGCCACGCACACACACTCACATGTCATGGAAAAAGGTTGAGAGCCACTGGTACCATGGATAGAGCTTTAAATCAGGGTCAGAAGGTTAGGTGTGGACCTGTGCTGTCATTTATTGGCTCTACGATCTTGCACAAACCACCTAACTTCTTTGAGATGATTTTTCTACCTGTAAAATGGGAGCGACATGGGAATGACCATTTTACAGCTGATTGACCCAATCTCACTGCCACGACCACGACCACGGTTCGACATGGACTAGAGCAGATCCCTCCTAACTCATCTCCCTGCATCCACTCCTGCTGTCTCCAGTAAGATCCATTTTCAGAATCGAACTGGTGACCTCTTGGTTCATGGATTGATGCTAAACCACTGAGCCACTCTGGCCGGGCACTAACATGGGCTTTTAAATTCTCAAACCTATCACGTCTCCTCTGTTCAGATCTCTTCCATGGCTTCCGATTGCTCACTGGGTGATGTGGCTCATGTCTCCAGCTTTATACTGCATCACTATCACCTTTGTTACCCGAGCTTGAGACATACAGGATTTTCTAGTCTTCAGAGACATCCCCCTCTTTGAAATCTGAGAGAGTATTCTCTCTTCTTAAAATACTTTCTTTCTCTTGTCCACTTGAGTTGGTGTCATCCATTAAATCTCAGCCAAGCTGTCACTTCACCAAGCCTCCCCTGAATCCACACCCTTATCACACTCATTACACTAAGTCCCCTTGTCAGGTGCTTGCCTAGCACCTACTTCTCTTTTCCATATAGTCAGCACATAATTACATAGGAGCTGTTTTACTAGCTTGAGCTAAAAATGCAGTGGCATCTCTTTTAATTTTCCAAGTAATGCTCACGCACACACCTGCCCATCTTAGCAAGAAGTCCAGTGTCTCCCTCTTACTGCATGTAATTCCCCACCTCCCGCAAACTGCCAGGAAACCTCCTTAGCCCACAGGGCCAGTGCTGCTTCCAAGAAGGCCGCTGGGGCGCTAGTTTTAAGCTGCTGCTGTTTCTATTCCTGCCGAGCAACATCCCTGTTCCCTCCAGGTGTCTCCATCACCATACAAAGGCACCCTTGCCAGTCCAGATCCCCACACAGACCAGAGTGATGGAAGATGACAGCTCTCCTGGCTCCTCTCACATGTTCTGGCATTGCTCCCAAAGCAGAACCCTCAAGGGCTGATAAGAGAGGGCGGCCGTCCTGCCTCGGCCACAGCTGTGCCCCGCCAGCCTCTTCTGTTCTCTGCCTTCATGTTGAGCCTGGGACACCAGTCCTGACTTCCTTCTCCTGTGTCATTGCTGTTCTGAACTTCTCAGTCTATTGGAGAGAGTCAGTTCTAGTCCATTTCTGTCCAGAAAGCTCCTCAGCTCCTAAAAAGATTTACCCTCCTATGCCTCAGTGACCATCTACACACCAAAGTGTACCGGGAGGACAGCTATTGTCAGTGCATAAAATGTTCTGTTTACCATCTCCCACTAAGAGGAACCATTCAAGAAAGCAGGGCTCCAGGGTGATACTGACATTATTGCAAAAATAATGTCAAGCTCTGTTTCATCTGCCGGTCTTTAAGTTTCATGAATACAGGGACTGTTTCTCTTATTTGCCAATATACGCCCAGTGTCTAAAACATTACCTGGCAAACATAAATGTTCAAGAAAATTTTAAACATTAAGCCCACTATATGCAGGTACATATGCTAACCTGCTTTGTACAATATACTAGCCACATGTGGTTTTAAAATTTAAATTAAATAAAAATTCAATTCCTTGGTGACATTTTAAGTGCCTACATACTGTAAGGGCTCAGTAGCCACATGAGTCTCGTGGCTACTGTATCAGAAAGATATACAAGGCATACAATTATTTCCATCTTTGCAGAAGGTTCTATTGGACAGCATTGTGCTAGACCCTTTGCAATTAATTTCAGAAAAAGTGCTTGAAGCAAGAGGTAGTGTCTACTTTGTAAAGGAAGAAACTGACAGAAAATATTTCTAAAGTTATATAGCTGGGGCTTGAACACAGGCCTGACTTCAACACTTGTGGCCCTTCTGTTGCAAAAGTGCTTAATAAAAATGGGCTCCATCTGAATATATTTTACATTATCTTTGGGCAATAGAAAGAAAGTCTCAACCCAAACTCATTGAGTGACTTGTTCATTAACTTGCTGGGTCCATAGCAAAGCCAAGAAGAGAATACAGTAGGAATTATGAGCTATAGAGACCAGGTCTCTAGAACAGATCTCTAGATCTCTATTTCTCAAACTCTCTATGGTGAAGAACCAGTTTTGGTTTTCTCAAACTTCTGATATGTTAAAATTGATACTTTTATAATATGTACATACTGAAAAATTACTAAAGAAATGAAACAGAAAGAACAAAGACATAAAACAACAAGCCCAATTTTCACTGGGTTCAATAAATATAAGACATTTGAATAAGTATGATCCGAAAAAATATAACATAGTAAAATAATTACTATAAAGTTTTCTAAATGCTTACATTCTACTTCTGTTCGTATCTTGCTGTGGACTGACAACAAACAGTTCACATACCAGCACCAGCCTATAGACCACACTTTCGGTGGCACTGTCCTAAAAGATTGATCAAGGACTTTATAGGATCTAAACCAAAGGCCAAACATACTGGTTTATGATGTATAAGAACCACAGAGAATGGCAGCACTGGCCTTGGGCATTAGAGAGGCCTTCACTGAAACTCCAACATCCCAGGGCAATATCTGTGTGTTAATCATTGGGCTCCTTTCAAATATAAAGCCTCTTGGAGGAGACTTGAATGCTGAGTTAGAGGCCCAATATGGTCATAAGGGAGTTACTAAAAATCTGGTGTACAGAGCAAAAGTGGAATGAAGGATGGAGTGAATTTAGGGACCTAGGCAACTGCAGGAGATGGACATCAAGCCCTGCAAGAAAATAAAAGTGAGAGGGAATGTGAGATCAGGGACTGAGAAAGATGAAACCAGGGAACTGGTGGTGAGCAGCATCCCATTATGTGAAATTTTGCTTCTGCCAGCTGAGTTGCTTTGAACCAGTATCGGTCATTTACACCTTAGTGCAAATTAATTGATCAGAACTTTTGCTCTGTGTGGGGCTGAGAGAAGAAAGTGGCAGTAAATACTGAAGCAGAAGAGGGAGAGAATTCTGGAGCCACACATTTCCTGGACTGAATCCCGAATTAGCAGTCCCTCAGCCTCTGAGTGTCTGGGGGTCAGGGACAGACAAAGGAATGGGAATGGGGGCCTTCTTTGTTCACAATCTTGCCTAAGGGTATAGTTTTACATTATGCATTATTCAGGCTGAGGTCTCAAGCCATGGTAGACATTTAGACTTCCATATATGTGGATTTATTTGGATTTACTTTTTAAAATAATTTTTTATTTTTCAATTACAGTTGACATACAATATTATATTAGTTCCAGGCATACAACCCAGTGATTAGACACTTATATTACTTATGAAGTGATTACTCTGATAAATCTAGTACTCATCTGACACCATATACAGTTATTACAATATTATTGACGCTATTCCCCATGCTGTACTTTACATCCCCATGATTACACAGTAACAACCAATTTGTACTTCCTAACCCCTTCACCTTTTTCACCCATTCCCCCAACACCTCTACCATTTAGCAACCGTCAAATGTTCTCTGTGTATATGAGTCTGTTTCTGGTCTGCTTATTTATTTATTTATTTATTTAGATTCCACATATAAATGAAATTATATGGCATTTGTCTTCCTCTCCCTGATTTATGTCACTCAGCATAATATCCTCTAGGTCTATCCATGTTGTTGGAAATGGCACGATTTCATTTTTTTTTTTTTTATGGCTGAGTCATATTCTATTGTTTATATGCACAACTCCTTTATCCGTTTATCTGTAGATGGACACTTAGGTTGCTTCCATATCTTGGCTATTGTAAATAATACTGCAATGAACATATGGATGCACATATGTCTTTTTGATTTGGTGTTTCGGGATTCTTTGGATAAATACCCAGAAGTGGAATTGCTGTCTTTTTTTGTCTTGTTATAGGCTTTGTTTTAAAATCTTTTTTGTCTGGTATAAATATTGCTACCCCAGTTTTTCTTTTTCTTTTCTATTTCCATGAAATATCTTTTTCCATCCCTTACTTTCAGTCTATGTGTCTTTTTGAAACTGGACACAATGGGTTCAGGCTGCCTGTGAAAACAACCCTAGAAAACCCTAACAGGGTCTGTGTTTGGCTTGTACATAAGATATGGCAGCACATATGCACAAAATATGACTCAAAGCCAGCTGAGCCTCTCCTGGGCACCTCTAAGCCCAGCACAAGTAGTATCCATCTGCAGATTGCTCTGTAGCTCATGCCAGGTGGCCCTGAGAAGGGCACAGGTGGCAGCTGACCTTGGTCTGCACCTCCTAGGATGCCCCAGAGCCAGCACACCTGATGGGCAGCTTCAGACCATGCCCAAGCACTTCCACAAATGACATATTCAAGGGGCAGACTCAGCCTGCACAAGAGCCCTGCTGAAGTAACCCCTGCTCTGTGGGGTGGGACCCTGCACAGTAGATCCTCCACAATGGTCACAGCCAGTTCTCATAGCCAATTGGCCTGGTATAAATCCCTCCCATTGATGTGCCAACAGCAGTCAAGGCTCAATTACAACAGGAGGATGCACACAGCCTACACAGGGCGTGCTCCTGGAGTTCCCTGCTAGGGTATTCAGGGAGGCTGTGCCACTGGGCCCCATAGGACACCTACTATATAAGGCCACTCTACCAAGACTAGGAGACGCAGCAGCTCTACTTAATACATAGAAACAAACACAGGGAGGCAGCCAAGATGAGCAGACAAAGAAACATGTCCCAGTGAAAGAGCAGGACAAAACTCCAGAAAAAGAATTAACCAAAATGGATACAATCTACTAGATGCAGAGTTCAAAACGCTGGTTATAAGATGCTCAAAGATCTTAGGGAAAGAGTAGATGAACTTAGTGAGAACGTCAACAGAGAGATGGGAAACATAAAAGTGGAGATAGAAAAAAACAAACACGGTCAGAAATGAAGAATACACTAACTGAAATGAAGACTCATTTGCAGGGAATCAACAACAGAGGAGATAAAGCATAGGATCAATCAGCGATTTGGAAGATAAGGAAGCAGAAAACACCCGATCAGAACGGCAAAAAGGAAAAAGAATTTAAAAAATGAGTATAGTGTACGGAGCCTCTGGGATAACTTCAAGCACACCAACACTCACATCTTTCTCTGGAAAGAGAAGAGAGAGAGCAAGGAATTGAAGCCTATTTGAAAAAAATGACAGAAAACTTTCCTAACCTGGAGAAGGAAATAGATATACAAGTCCAGGGAGTGCAGAGAGTCCCAAATAAGATGAACCCAAAGAGGCCCCCACCAAGACACATCGCAATTAAAAGGCCAAAGGTTAAAGACAAAGAGAGATTCCTAAAAGCAGCAAGAGAAAAGCAGTTAGCAGTGCCAGGACTGGGGCTGCTTCGTGAGAGGTAGAGGGCATGCCAAGGCCAGCCCCTGCTTGTTTGAGAGATTTTAGGAAAGTCCAAAGCATGAGCCAAGACAGGCCATTCGTAAGGAAAAGCTACTATAAATGGCTTGGGTAAGCCTGCAAGTTTGAGGAGGTGGCCTCTCAGGGAATCACCAGGGCAGGGTGAACAGTGAGCCAGGTTGAAGGAGACTCACATATGGTGCCCATCTGCCAGCTCTGTGGAGGGAGAGCTCAGCAAAGGAACAATGACCTCTGCCAGTATTTCTGTCTGGGAGAAAGCTGTTCCTCTAGCTCTTGACCTGACACCAGATGTTTCAGTTCCTCCCAGTACGTTCTTGACATGCCTTTCCAGCTGCTGCCTCAGCATGGGAGCTCAGAGGGAGGGAGTCCAGTAAGTACATGTGCAGGCCCTGTGAGAGAAACTGCCTGCGACTCCAGCAGCCCTTGGTCTCCCCCAGCCTCAATCCACACTGGCTTTCACAGCCAAGTTATGGGGACTTCTCTTCCTGACACTGGAACCCTGGGTTGAGGAGCCTGAGGCTGGGACCCCTCGCTCTCAAGGGGGGACCTCTGCAGCCAAGGTATTCCTCCCAATTTTTATCCCCCCACACGGGTGTGGGACCAGCTCATTCAGAGTCTCTGGCCCTCCTACCAGTTTCAATGTGGCTTCTTCTTTATATCCTTAGTTATAGGACTTCTGTTCAGTTAGATTTCAGGTGGTTTTCAATGATGGTTTTCCTGTAGTTTAGTTGTAATTTTGATGTGGCTTTGGGAGGAGGTGAGTACCGCATTTACCTATGTTGCCATCTTGACCGCTGGTCTGTTTTTGGATTTGCTTTTTGCTCTGCCACCTTTTAGCTATAAACAGAACAATTTCCTCATTAATTTTATTCCCTTACTGGGATTTTTCTTTTTCAGACACAACAATAAGATATGTCACCACAAACAGGAGGGAAGTGAACAGAGTTTTGAATAGTCATGATTTTTCTTGTTCACTTCTTTTTCTCTCCCAGCTTAAATTAAGAAAGAGCCACTGTTCTATTAATGCAAAAAGGATAACTGAATAGTTTAGGCCTGTACAGAGTCTTCCTGTTCAGTGGCTAGTTGTTCCTACAACCTTGCATTGTTCTATATCTTACTTGGAGAGCAAAGATGGTATCTTCTGTACAGCTACAGAACAGTTGTGTAGCCTTTGGTCTGTCTATAAGGCTAAGTGCTCCTGTGGAACACTGCACAGGGCATATGAGGCCACATAATTAGAAACGGTTAAAATTTAACATCAAAGGGGAGATGTTCAGCTGCGTGCAATCAGTAGCTGTTGTTTTTGCAACAATTGTTAAGTGTTTGGTGAGGGTTTGTGGGTCAAGGATAATGCTGGGGGAATAGAAGTCTTTTCATGAGGTTGACAGGCTTGGAGCTGGAATTTGTAGAAGGGAAAGGATGTGATCTGGAGGTCAGGAGAAGTTAGGTTGCTGAAATCGTTCATGCTGGTTGGAGGAAAAGCTAAGACCCTGGCAAAGCAGTGTGCTGGGGACTGACAGGCCTGGGTCATGTTGTAAAATGGGTATTTTTAGCTTTCTTGGGAAAGTTGCCTGTCCTTTTGTAACCTAAAAATCACATGTTGTGACATATGAGTTCATGAGTTCACCAAAATGGTGATGGGCAAATCATAGGAATTTCTAAGTAATTTTGTATCAGCTACTCAGAATATTCATACTATTCATTTTAGAATTCTACTGAATATATCCCCAAAATTCCAGAGGCACCGATTGTGAAAACAACCCTAGAAAACCCTAACAGGGTCTATGTTTGGCTTGTACATAAGATATGGCAGAGCATATGCACAACATGTGACTCAGAGTGGTGAAGTTAGCCCCTACACCCTCTCTATCTCTCACCACTTCCCTGAAAGCCGCCTGTGAAAATATATCCTGTGACTGTATCCTCTCCCCTCTGCACAGAATCAAGGAAACAAGTGCAGCATAGGCCTGGACTTGAGGTTCAGTGACACTGAACTTCTCTGAATCAGCAATAAGATTTTCTTGACTCAGAGAAGTTTCAACACTGGCAGTTTTGATTGAAACATTGATTTGCTGAGAAGCAAAAAATCCTCCATTCCTGTAAGTTGATCTGCTTGACCTACAGTGAGTTTCCATGGGAGAGGCCCCAGTGTTTGAGTTTCAAGAGCTTGACATCTTCGTATAAGTGACTCCTTCAGCTGCTCAGCATAAGGAAGAAATAGTGAAAGGCTTGAGAGCAGAGGTGGTAAACTCAGATGCCCACCAGGGCCAGGCAGGGATATTGAACACCCTGGAGTTAGCAAAAGCAGGGAACAGTTAACCATCCCTAGGCCTGAAGGGGAAAAGGAAAGGTGAAGTTACCAGAACCCTGGCTTGGAGTAAGGACAGCAAGAGGAGAGGGACACCCACAAGGAGCTATGGCCTTGAACAAAGGGATAAAGTCAACCTGCAGCCTGTCTGGGAGGTTGCTGAGGAATATGTACCCCAACCTCACTCTCCTACCCACTGCAATCTCCTTTCCCTCCTAGGCTGAGGGGAAGTGGGATGGCAGCCAGGGGGAAGAAAGCCCAGTGACACAGTCCACAATGTCATCCTCCTGAGTCTCTAGGAACAAACAGAATAGCAGGCACAGCGGGGAACTAGAAAAGATTCTGACTAGGGAAGCCCCATGAGCTGTGCTCCCGTTGCGCTGAGCTCTCTGCAGCCCAGAGAGGGAGGGAAGAGGGCCCCTGCATTAGGCCTGGAGAGAGGCTGAAGACTTGGACTAATGGTAGAGGGTTAGAAGGAAGGATTGTGAACCCTGCTGCCTCCAGATAGATGAGTTTTTTTTCCTAAAGTAGTTTCTCGCTCCAATCTGTGTTTGAGAATGTCTATATTTCCTAATCAGAAAAGTGATTCTCTTATTTGTGAACTTTCCTCCTTAGATTCACCGTGTGGTCTCCCGAGCTGGGGTGACTTGATGAGACATCCTCAAGAAGCCTCTGGACTCTGATTGAGAATCCCTTGGCCCACAGAGCTTCTGTTTATTTTTCAGATGCCCGTGTATGACCCAGCACTTTAATCTGGAGACTGCACCGCAGCTCCTGGCCACTGTGTGCGTAAAGGAAGGCAAGCAGGCCACCCCTTCACGACCCAGCACTCACCTCTGCAGCCTGTGACTGAGCAAGCACTTTTGCACTTTAGAAAATGGCCACATTGCACCTTGGACCCTACCGAGTGTCCTGAGGCTCCTTCTTGCTATCAGGCTGAAAATAGAGGGGGTTATTTTTCCATAAGTTTCCAAAGTAATTTCCAGAGCAGAGACGAATGGGAATTTATAGTCAATAGAGTTATTCCCATCTATAGGAAAAGCCTATTGAAACTATTAGCTCAGAGACGGGGCTTTCTACAAAGTGAAGCTGTAATTGGTGTGTTTTATGTCTTAATGGAATCTTTGAAAGTATTTGTGTTCTCCTAATTAAAAGGAAGCATTTAAGATTTATTCTCTCTTTTTTTTTTTGTTAAATATATCTTTATTGATTTCAGAGAGAGGAAAGGAGAGGGAGAGAGAGAGATAGAAACATCAATGATGAGAGAGTCATTGATGGAGCCCGCAACCCGAGCATGTGCCCTGACCGGGAATCGAACCCTGATGGCCTGGATCCTAGGTCGATGCTCGACAGCTGAGCCACGCCCGGCCAGGCAACAGGAAGCATTTAAGTACATAGAGTGGCCAACGACAAATCGTGGAGAAGAGCCACTGAGTATTTTTGTGAGATCTAAATCACAAAGCATTTATTTTACCTGTAATGACACCGTGTTGAATGGTAGTTTTGTTGTTTTAACTACATCTTTCCTTCCAAGAATTCTGTTGTTTTTTAACCTTAGAAACTAATGATATAACATATAAAAAATTTGTCATGTTAATATGCTATGTCTGCAAAGATTTCATTCAGGTAAGTAACCATAATGGTCAAAGCCCCAAACTAAGGCTGTTTGCTGACCCCGTTTGGCTTTAACCCTTTCAGAGGTTCAGTTTCTGCGTCTGGGGTATGCTGATACCCACTAGTCAAGGCTTTGATTGTTGTCACTGTAGAAATCCTGTGGATCCCATCAGGCGTATGGCAAGGGGGAGGGTAACTGGGCACACCGACAACAGTTTCATTGTGTTAAATTCGATCTCCATGCCGGGGCCATGAAGCTCAGAGCACTGGCTGACCCATGAACTACCCAAATGTGTATCTTAGCAAGTATAACAGGGTCTTAGGTCAGAGGGACTAAAAGCAAGCTCTTGAACTGGTGCTCAGACTAGGGAGAACTTGGAATTAATGGGAATGAGGGCATGTGAAAGTGAGTAACAGACAAATCATATAACACCTCAATTCCTCCATTCCCTGTCTCTACAAATCAAAGAATGCCTTTGAAGAATAAAGCTCAATTGTTTATTTATCAAAGTGTTCCAGATATTCCAGTTTTGGCAAAGTGACCATCCAGGGCCCATCCAAGTCAGTAAGTTTCATATTCTATCAGGCCAGTTGGCTCCCATAGGTTTGAAAGCCTTTCGCTTGGATGCCCTCTTCAGAAGGGTGGGGTCCAGGATGGTTTCCCAGGTCTGTGTTGGTGTGGGGTCCCTGCTGGAGGAGCAGCACTTCCTAATGCTGTGGAGATCAGGGCAGGCAGACAAGGTCTTCTCCCCGGGGAAGCAGGCCCACCTCTTCTGAATCCCCATGTGCTCCCAGATATGTGGTCAGCATGAGAAATCCTTGGGGGGCGGGGGAGGTTTAACTTAGGAACCCAGTGGCATAATGGTTTCTGTCTAAATACCACTGTCTTTGGTCCTAGATTGGGGCTATTCTCTAGAATACCAAATAGTGAGAGGGATCCCCAGCTCTAGTATCCCCAAATTCAGGCTCCTTCACAGAAGAGGACAGATTATAGGCAGTGTGAGAAATGCTCCGTGCAACAGCATGCTGTTGTAATGTCGAGCATTTATCAAGTACTTACTACATGCCTGATATTATTTAGCATTTTACGTGTATTTATTGGGATAAGTTCTCTCAAAACCCTCTGCAAAAGGCACTGTTTATGTCTCTATTTTAAAGATAAAAAGACTGAGGCACGGAGGGGTTAAGAAATGTGGTTAAGGCTGCCTGTTTAGTTTGGAAAGTATAGAGCTAAGAGTATAAAGCCTTATTCATTATATCCCGTAATGTGCCCTGATTTCCTACCAGGTGGATCTCTACCGATTGCACATATCTTGTGGCCTCTTTTGCTGGTCAAAGATTAATTTCACTCTTACTCTACCCGGAGAGGCACTATAGGAGACTGGGTGGAGTGTAGACCCTGTCTTCAGAGATTCCAACCCCAGCTGAACTATGTATGAGTTATACAGCTTTGAATATATCAGTTGATGTCTCTAAGTATCAGATTCCTTATAAAAAAACACACAAATGAATAAGGAAGGTATTTAGCACCTTCCTTTATCAAGCACTTTCTGTGTATGTGTGGCAGACAGTAAATACTGATAAATATCAAGTACCATTGGTAATCCCCCTATGTACCGGCCCCTTTGCCCTTGCTAAATGGACAGTGGACGGACACTGTCAGAGCTGCAGGATTACTGCTAAATCCTACTCCTAAGGGATTTCCAAGGAATTTCCAGCCAAGGTATATCAGCATGGGTTTCACGTCCGGTACAGGCTCTCTGCCACCCAGAACACATCCTTCCTGAAACCTCATTTCTCCCCTGGCAAAATTCTATCCATCCTTCAGATGTCAGTCGTGCCAGAGGATATTTTCTGGTTTTCTCCAACTGAGTATGAGCTCTTATCTCGGACACAGCTACTTCTTTGTTCCTCTCTAAAGCAGTTATCTTTCTCAGTTTTGAATCATGAGGATTTAAGCCCTTTATTGTTCCCCCTTGGAGTGTAAATTCCTGGAGGGCAGGAAGATTGTGGGATTTTGTCATTTCTGGAGCCTCTTGTATGTGATGGATACCTCATGCATGATTGGCTATGAGACTCAATATAATACTGAGGAGAATAGCTACACTTGACGTTCTTACTTTT